GAAGAGTGAATTACACTGATTCTAAATCGCTGGGCTTCTTTGCTTTGCTAGGTGGATTATTTGCTTCGCTTTGCTCGGGTTTTATGAAGTGATTTAAACATATTTTAACCAATTAGAGACTTTCCTCCTCTCCCTTGTGTCCCCTCGCATTATTTTTCAGCGTGGCGTTTTATGTCAGGATCCGGGTTTTATTGAGAACTCACCCAAGGATGCTGGTGTTATAATTACAGAAACGACATTAAAAAAAAAGTAGTAGAAGAAAAGGCAAAACAAAAAAAAAACCAAACAAACAAACAAAAAAAAACAAAAACAACGAAAGCTTATTTCAGGAGGGGAGTTGGGGCAGGTCAGCGCGATGGGATGCGCGTCTGCCCGCGGTTGCTCTGCGGGCGCCGAGGTCCCGGCGGGGTGCGGGCTGCAGCGGCGCGGAGAGGAGCGCGGGGCGCAGTGCGCGCCCCCAGCCCCGGCCACAGCCCCGCTCCAAACTGCCGGGGCAGCGGCAAAGCCCCGGCCGAGCTTGCGGRTTGCCCCGCAGCTCTTCCTGACCGCATCGCCCCTCGTCCTCTGAGGTGCCAGAGAGGACGTCGGGTTTTAAATGCGCCCCATTTTTTTTTTTTTTTCTGGTCTTCTCGTCAGCGCAGAGACCCGAGGCCCGGGCAGCAACCCCAGGATATGCTCCCCGAGCCGGCGGGGGCCTGATTCGTTTGCTTCAYCCCGTCCCCGGAAAATGATGGCAGCAGCGTCCAGGCTCTGCACGAGCAGCTCAGCCCGGGGGGCACGGGCCTGGGGGCAGCTCTGCGCCCCCACACCCCCGGGGAGCGCAGCCCCGAGAAACGGGCAGCAGGGAGCGGGGTGAGGAGAAGAGCTGCGAGGGAAGGGGACAGGCTCGGGTCGCTCCCAACGGGTGTCCCGGCGAGGTCCGCGCTGCTGCCTCCTGCTCCGTGACTATTTGACTGCTTGGGGGGGTTCTTTCTGCTCTCACCTGGCACCGCCATCGTCGCCACTCTTTGCCCGCAAGTGCCCCTCTACTCCCTGGCGTCTACATGAGAGTAAGGTAGAGGAAGGGGCCCCTATTCGAGCTCAGGTAAAGAGTAAAGCCCCGCGTCCTGTCCGAAGCCCTCTTATCTTTTGTGTTCGTTGTTTATTTATTTATTATCTATTTTTGGTCAGGCAGCCCGAGGTAAGGACCGTCCCTGCTTCTCTGCAGACCCCCTCCCGTCTCCCCTCCTGCACTGCGAGGCCAGTACGGGCGTGGGGCACCCAGGCCCGCCCGCAGGCAGCTCCAGTCGCGGAGAAACTTCGCATCCCGCCGCCTAGGGCAGCTGAGGCTCTTCCTTCCCAGCTTTGGGGGTGTTCGGGGAAACAAAACAAAACGCCCCCATCCAGAGTGTTTCATCCGCCCCCTTCTCCTCCCCGCCAGTTCCGACCCCTTCGATGGGGGCCCCAGTGCGGACAGGAAAAGTTTGGGTCCAGTCTCCTGCCGAGAGCAGAGAGGAAGGCAGCACCCTCTCTTCCTCACTAYCCCCGCCAGGGTACTGGGGGTGAATGAGGGGTTTCCCTAGAGCCGTCGTTGAAGCATCGGATCCGGGCCGCTTTTTCCCTGCTTTCCACGGGAAAAAGAAAGCGAATTAAACAGCGGCCTATCCCCCTCCACGGAGCGGAAAGCACACGCTGAATCCGAAAACACACAGGGGAAAATAAAACCAAACCAAATCAAAAAACMCCCTCCCCAACTGTAAACGTCTCAAAACCTCTTCGGAAGAGTCTCCTCACGTCACCCCCAGCCCGATTTTGGGCCCGGCGTGTCGGTCTGCGCTGCCCCAGCAGCCGCCTGGGCATTGCAGGCGCCTCCGCCGTGACCGCTCGGGTTTGGCTCCGTTTTGGCTGTGCGTGGCTCACTTTTGTCCAGGAAAATGTCACAGGAATATAATTAAAGCAGGCGGCATAAATCATTCAAGTGTTGATCACCAAAGTAACTGCGTACAAATGACACCTCCTTCCCCGGCATAGCTGAGCCGTACATGTCTCCCAGTTATGTCCGCCTAGTTTAAGTGGTCTAAACACGTTACAGCTCCCTCTTAGCAGAGAGGAGAGGAGCAAAGTCCGAGCCTTCTGTATGATAGCGAGCGCAGGCTGCTGGAACAGCAACATGCACGGGTGAACCGACTAAATATATATATATATATATATATATATATATTTTTTTTTCTTGAAGGCTCCCCAAGCTTGGGGCTGCGAGTGCTGGCAGGAGAAGAACCCAATGGGACTCATCTTGGAGCGCGGAGGAGGCAGCGACACGGTGGGGGCCGAGGTCTGTTTCGAGGCCTTTGCTTGCAAAGCTGTGGGATAAATTTAGCCGTAGGTGGCCACAGGTGTCCCCGGTGTTCAATGAGGGCACGACTCGTTCCCGCTTCCGTCGGTAAAGATCTGGTCCAAGCTGGGCGCCCACTGGGAAGGGAGGGTTGGGAGGCGGGGGCGCACCGCGGAGCTGGGGAGAGACCCCGCAGAGCAGCTGCTCTCCGGAGCTCGTTTCGGAGCTGCCACCCGCCCCGCTTGTACCCAGCTTGCACCCGGCAGGGGAAAAAAACTTCGCGACACCAAAAATAAAGATGACCCAAGAGGCCGCGCAATGTCGGGCAAGGGCCGGGCGGGCGGCCCGGGCTCCGCGCACCTCCTCGCAGCCCCGGAGCTTTCTCGGGCGGGGGAAGGCGCAGAAAGTGCCGCTTCCCCGTCCCGAAAGGTAGCGGGGCTGCAGGAGAGAAAAGCGGGCGACTCCGGGCAGCCCCAGTCCCGACGGGTGTTCCTGGGGCTTCTGGAGCACCGTTGCCCCAGATGCGCGG